TGATTGGAAATAGTAAGACAGTCAGACTGAAACAACCTAAGGAAAGTAAAGAAATAGGACCTACCAGCGGCGCCCTCCAACCACCCGCTTACAGCCAGTCCCTAGTCAAATCTGTTGTTTAATTATACTATTAGAAAGAAGATTATTGGGTCGGAAACATCCCCAGAGTGACATAAATGTACCATGTATAGATTCAAGTATATGAAACTACCAGTGCATCATAGAATCTTGTTGATGAAATCTTTACGCCTAATTTTAAGAACAATAATTTTTTTTTGGAAAGAATGTACAAGGGTGACTACAGTAGTGGACAATTGTATGAGCAAACGTTTGTACCAGGACGCGGTGGAATCAGACTCTCGTCAATTTTGGAGCATATGGAGTTGGTGGAATCATCTTAAGGCCAGTCCATTTTCCTTGTTTTGTGTGAAAATAATATCTATCTATGTTTAATAGAAGTCGAGAAATTGTGTGATTGAAGGAGGTGAAGGTCATCTGGTCTCAGGGGTAAAATTAGCGAGAAAACGGCCGCCAAAGTTGAGTTACTTCTTTAACTTGAGAGTCCGTGGAAACTAATAATGTACATGTCTTCTGCCTTTAATCAACGGTATTCAGTGAAATCCACACATAGAAATGTGTTGTTTAATGGGGCATGAAAAGAGTTGAGCCAAAAAAACCGAAAATTCGATAAAAATTGCCAAACTGACTGAAAAATGCCTGTTTTTCGATTTTATGATTTTAACGAGCGCCTGATTTCACCACACTGCCTCTCATTTTCTTTCAGCACTGTATACTTCTTCAGCCCGAGACGCTGTCCTTTCACAGGCGTGGTTTGTTCGTGCTGTTGACTTTTCGACAGTCGTATGATTTCATGGGTAAACCCATAGCACAAAAATTAACGCTATCCGTACGTCGTGTTTTACTATCGTATCCATACGACGTGGGGAACTCTGTGCCATCACTTTCCAAAGAGGAAATTTACTCGTTAATCCGACCTGTACGCTTTGCATAGCAGTTGGTCAAAATTATTTTTTGAGAAATACTGAGAGTTTCAAAGAGATCTTCGTACTAGAAGTATTATAAAATGTGAAGAATACAACCCCGGGGGATACAAAATGACCCCAGGGCGTACGGATAGAGTTAAAATTTATCGTCTGCGATGCGGGCTTCGGACTGACGTTAATAAATGAATGGCTGCATTTTATGTGTGTCTTGGTTTAAACAAGTTATGGTTAAAAATCTGCTTGATGAAAAACGTTTAATTCTTCCGCACAGTGATAAAAATTCCAGGAATATACTTTTGTCTTTTTCCATCTTGATGGTTGCTGCATCTGCTCGATATTTTGTGGAGATATTATGTCTTTTGGTGATTTGTAAAACATAATATGTGAGGCAGCGTGGTGGAATCGGGCTCTCGTCAAAATAATCAAAGAGAAGAAAGTTGCATTTTTCCGCAGGTTTGTTAATTTTTATCAAATTTTTGTTTTTTTGGCTCAACACCTATCATACCCATTATATAATTCATTTCTGTGTGGATTTTTCTGAAAAACGTTGATTAAGGGCACAACAAATGTAAATTTTCAGTTACCACAGGCTTTAAAGCTAAGGAAATAACTAATCTTAGGCGGCCATTTTCTCACTAATTTTACCTCTGAAAACAGGTGACCCCCACCTCCTTCTTTCACAAATATCTCCACTTGTATTCAAGATAAATGGATATTTTATTTTCATCCAAATAAAGACTGGCGAAAAAGCTTTGAGATGATACCAATAACTCTACATGCCCAAACATTGACGTGAGCCTGATCCCACCACGCTGCCTCACATATTTGGGGATTTATATTTACTGTTTGGGATGCTGAATCTGAATTCAATACCAACATGAATTCTTTTTTCGATGTTTGAGTTTTTCGTAGTGCAGCACTGAAATGAGTCGATGGCATCAATGTCGTAGACATCAGGTGACTTCCGCACTGTTGGAGCTGAAATGCTGAAATAAGATGACTTCAGCGTTTTTGGCGCTGAAATTAAATTATATGACCTCAGCGGGGAGGGGGG